GGTGGCCAGTCATTGCAGAAAGAATTTCCATTTGGGTTCTGGCTCTGTCACTAACCTAATGTGTGACCTCAAACAAGTCATGAATACTTTTTGGCTACCAATTTGGAGATAATGGCACCGGTTTTAGGGAGTGGAGACTCAACAAAAACAAGAAGTTTTATGAAGCACTGTATAAATAAAATATCTTATGACAAATATTAGAAAACACTTATAGCAAAAGTACTTCTTAAGAGTTAGCATTCTATTTGTTACCTAATTCAAATCTAACAAAAATATCTGCTGTCAGAAATGGGAGCCAAAAGAGTAAGTCGTGATTGTAGCTAATCATTTACACATTACATCCTGAAGAACACACAATACTCAGTTCTGTACAAAGTCACAAGCTAAAGCATAATGTTTTTCACAGTTTTCTTTAAATTGTTCACAAGCTATGTAAAAAAATAAAATGCATATTTTTTATTCAATACTCTTCAGATTTAAAGAATAATGAGAGATGCAGAAAAAAATAGGCTTTTTAAATTGGCAAATATAATTTTTTATGAATAGACAGGTTGATTTCAGTTAGTAGTTAATGACTCTAGGGAAAGAAGTTAAGGGAATAGTCCAAGAGGTTTTGGTGTGTGTGTATGTTTTTTCTCCCCCCTGCCTATCAAAGGAAAGGAGCCAAGAAGAATGGTGAACTGAAGTTTTCTTTTTATTCTCCCATAATTCAGGTACATATTTTTTCTGGTTGAAAAAAGGGTAAGTACTTCCTCAGCTAAATGGAAATCAGTTTCCATTTCAGAAACAATGGTTACAAACAAATACATATGTAGTGGACATGCAATTGTAGTCACACAGAGAGATTTTTTTTCTACATCTAAAACATTATTTTAAGTGGCTTTACCATTTGGTAGAAAATGTGCAAAGCATAATTCACAATTGTGTCTACTGGGTTCCTTTTATGGTGATAAGCACATAGGGGTTCCCATTTTCAAACAATGAGGACAATAGGTTGAAATCCAAACCCAGTGAGGAATCAAAAACTGTCATAGTGGGAGCAGTCAATCAAAAAAATATTCAGTGAATGCTTTGGCATTGGAGACATCAAGAATGCAGAGCAGCTCATCAAGACTGATTGCCTGTCTTCAAATCTTGGCACACACATGTGAGAAAGCTGTGACCCTTTTGCAAATAGATAGCTTAACTTCCTCACCTTTGGTGTAGTGGGGCACACCCTACTACCTATAGCAAACTTCCCATAGGGCGGAATATTAGCTTGGCATAAGATGGCTTATCACCTAGTTATTCTAGGCATGGTGGGGTAGTTATATCCGGTAAACCTTCTAATGTACTTTCATTCCAGGAAAGCATAGACAAGGTAGAGAGGACAAGTCTATTATCAGCTTAAACACTGAACAACTTAGTGGGGTAAAGACTTTATACCAAAGTATTGCCAGCGGAAGTTAAAGATGGACAGAAAGAGCTACAGAGAAACAACAGGAACCCCCGCTCTTCTGACCACACACACACACACACACACACACACACACACACACACAAACATCAGAATTTTGCCTATAATAGAATGCAATTCTACAAATTGCATAAAAGCTGCAAAGGCGTAAGTTTTCTGAAAAGACTGTCAAAAATTAAAAGCAGCATTATAAAGGTATTGTAAGAAAACAAACACAACGGAAATAAAACACTAGAAAGTTGGGTGATGACTGACTCACAAAAATGTCTTATAGAAACATTAGCATGAAGAGAAACTACATCTTAAACAAAACCACCTAATGGCTGAACTCTAGGTGCCTTGTAAACAGGATCTTTGTTTGCCTTTTTTTTTTCCCAGCAGCTGACTGCAATTTTGGTGGTTTCAAAAAAAGCTGGAATTCTTTTCTACAGATGAAACCTATATGTTTGATGTTTAAATTTCTGTAATCTTTCTTTAACCATTCAAGGTTCTGGTGATACAAACACAAGTTATACTACACGTGTGCACGCGCACACACACGTTATACTACACACAATTTATACTACACACACATGCACACACACACAAGTTAGACTACACACACACACATGCACACACACACAAGTTATACTACACACACACACACACACACATACACACACACACACACACAAGCACACAGGCACATTAAACACTGACATGTATTCATATGTCCAGACCTTGGGACAGGGAACATACTTTCTGATGATGTAAAGCATTATTTTTCTTAGGGAAACTTTGTCGTTTTGATATCTTAATATTTTTGGTTGGTATCTCAGCTAGACAACTAAAGAAGTTAAGCCTGATTTACCTATATTAGATTTTAAATCTGCTGAATTTGCCAAAGTTTATCCTGAGCCCAGCAAAGTATCTGATACATAATAGGCACCAAGCAAATGTCTGTCAAATGAATTAATATAGTAAGACCAGTCAGCAAACCCATCATTCAAACTGATGTTTTACCTTAATTATTTGTATAAACTAAAATAATTTCCATTGTAGTATTGCTAGTTATGAGCTAATAAAGATCTACTTAGATTTCAAAAATGTGCTTGGATTTCATATTCTCCTCCCCAGTAGCAACCAAGTCTCTGTCAATAATCATATAGTGACATTTCAAGTTCTCATGTCTTAAGCTAACAAAACCAGGAGGCTAAGAAGTAAATTTATGAAGTATTATTTGAAGAATACTTAAATGATTGCCTAAAGTATTTTCCTTCACCAATTTACCATTGGTATGATCTGAAATTGCCACTATCAATCATGTATTGGACACAAAACATTCAAAGGTTCTTGTAAAAGGCAAATATGTTACAGGTACAATCTGAATTTCCTTAGACCTTAAAAATGTGGGTTAAAATGGAGTTTTATTTAATGGAATAATTTAAGTGTTTCTAGTTTGTATAACCATTTGCTGTATAACCATTGTGTTGACAGGGATCAGGCCTTCAGCCTTCCCCACCGCACTACTTCTCCAACCCCTTCAAAAACTTTTTTCCAATATTTTTGAGTCTGAGACAGGCTCCTAAATAATCCTCTTCCTGCTGGCTCCTGTGATGACCTTAGCTGGGCTCAACCATTATTCCTGCAAGTACCACAGTTCCTCATAGGCCTCTCCAGAAATCAAATTTATGCAAGAACTGTGTCACAAGAAAGAAATCTCACTTCCATTTTGCTTTGGAGAGATTCTCAAGCATGGTCACTTAAGTCCCAGAACTTACCTTACAGAGTTCTTTCTCTCTCTTCTTACTCCTAACTTCCCTTAAAATTTTAGAGTTCCTCTGTTCTCCACAAAACTCAAATATGTCCCGTTAGGGCTGGGAGACAGCTCTAGGTGCCTGAAACCATGGCACATCCTGGCTCAGCTCCCCTGACAGGCAAGGCCCTCTGTTGAGAGCTTATCCAACCTAGCTCCTTCTCCCAGAACATTCCTCAGTGTTTGTGCAAATGTGCTTCTGGCAAGCACAAGATAAAAATGTACCAAGTATGCCTGAATTTCAGTCTCAGGAGAGACCACTTCCACATATGGAAAGATGAAAAGATAAATATTAGCACAATGTCATCTACAAACATCTTCATGAAAATTAGATTCTGAGATTGGCTGATCCTGCAACAGAGAGCAGATCTCTGAATGATAGTACAGATGTGATTTGATGAAAGGGACAAAGGGGAAAGGGACATAAAGGCTAAAAAATTCAGAATCTGGAGATTGTTTCTAGGCTGATGAGCCCAGGAGCCAGATGCCTTAAGGGTGAATGGTCAAGGGCACCAGAGGGTATTGGGTACATGGGCAGGGGACACATGGTTGCAAGGAGATGAAATGGGAATGAAAGGACACCAGAAATAAACTCAGCCAGGTCTCAGTGTTTCTGAAACTCAACCTTGGAAACAAATAATTATCTTTTCTAGTGAAATTCCAGTGAGTTTCTGAAACTCAGTCTTGGAAACAAATAATTATCTTTTCTGGTGAAATTCCATACAAAAGTTTGATTTCACAAATTTGTCATGGGTCTTCCCTGTAACTGGCTCTATTCCATCATTAACCAGTCATAACATCAGTCTACGTGACACCAAACATCCAGCCAATTCAGCCATAATCAAAACTCCAGTTAACCAGCCAGCTGTTGTCTGTACATAATGCCAAGCAATCAACTGGACTAACTTCATGCCTGGGTTGATGGGAAAAACCAGATGTTTAAGCATTATGTAAATGCTAAGTGCCAATGGAAAGCAGGAGTGTTAGCTGTCATTTTACATACAATCTTAGAATGAACACTTGCACTTTTCTCGTAAGTAGGACATTAGCCCAACCAAGATCTCAGATATACACATACACAAACACAGGTACACATGCACACTGAAAACACTAGTGAGTGCGTGTGAGATGTAAGAACATGTCAGAGGTGCAGGGGCAATAAGTTAATTCACACACTCAACTTTGTAAAATGTACTCAATGTGCCTGTCCTGCCAGTTTGGGCCCTTACCTGCCTTGCCATGCTCTGCTCTCCATCTCAGGGAATGACTCTTCTAGGCTCTTTTGCCCTCTGGCTTCAGCATATGGGAGGCACAGTTGGAAGATGTAGGGCACAAAGAAAGGCATGACAAGAGAATTTACTCCTCTCTCTGTCTCCTTTGATGTCTCCAGAAGCTGCACCTCCTTTTAGATTGTCTTTCCTTCCCCAGTTCTGGTTCCCATCCGACAGCCCTATGTCTGTTCCCTAAACTCCCTCTCCATCATCTGTGAAATCTGTTTCCAGAACTAAGTTTCATCTACTAGGAGACCTAGAGTGACTTATTTTTCTGGCTGGACTCTGACTGATACACAGGATAATCTAGAAAAGTAGAGTACTTCTCATTCTGGGGTTTCGAGGGCAGCCTGAGGCCTATTCAAGAGCAGCTCAAGTGCTGAGCCAACAAAGGACCTATCAGAGCTCTTCTCCTCTTCCTCGCTTCTCCCTATCAAGTCTTCTAACTAATAGGAAATAAATAAATAAAAATGATTAAGCGCCTACATTGGCAACACATATTCTAAAATTGGAACAATACAGAGAAGATCAGCATGCCCGTGTGTAAGAATAACATGCAAATTTTTGAACGCTCCATATATTTTTTTACTACCCATGTATCTTATGAAATCCTGTTGTATATCTTCAATATACATCACAGAATTTTTAAAGGTTTCCAGTTTCATCCATGTCCCTGCAAAGTACCCAACTGTATTTTTATAGCTATTAACAAACTTCCCTTCATCTTCCTCTTCTTCTCTTCCCAGGTTCTGGTAACCACCATTCTACTCTCTATCTCCATGAGCTCTATTTTTGTAGCTCCCACCCCTTGTACTAGTGTGCCCTGGACATGGGGCATGAGACATGGTGTCAACGGAGATGATTTTGGGGCTTTACAATTTCATGGCTGCCCTGCTGGGTTACAGAGCTGCTTAAGGCCTATAGCCCCTCTCTTGACTGATTTCTCCCTTTTGGAACAGGAATGTTTACCCAATGCTTGCATCCCCATTATATCTTGGAAGTAAATTTAACTTGTTTTGATTTCTCAGGCTCATAGGTGGAAGGAAATGAGTCTCAGATGAGACTTTGAACCTGGACTTGGGACTTTTGAGTTAATTCTGGAATGAGTTAAGATTCTGGAGAACTACTGGGAAGGTATAATTGTATTTTGCAATAAGAGAAGGACATAAGATTTGGGGGACCAGGAACAGAATGATATAGTTTGAATATTTGTCCCCACATGTATTAGCCCATTTTCATGATGCTGATAAAGACATACCTGAGACTAGGAGGAAAAAGAAGTTTAATTGGACTTACAGTTCCACATGGCTGGGGAGGTCTTGGAATCATGGCAGGAGGTGAAAGGCAAGCGGCCGCAAGAGAAAATTAGGAGGAGCAAAAGCAGAAACCCCTGATAAACCCATCAGATCTCATGAGACTTATTAACTGTAACAAGAATAGCATGGGAAAAACCAGCCCCCATGATTCAATTACTTCCCCCTCGGTCTCTCCCACAACACATGGGAATTCTGGGAGATACAATTCAAGTTGAAATTTTGATGGAGACACAGCCAATCCATATTATTATCCAAATTTCATGTTGAAATGTAAACCCCATGTTAGAGGTGGGGCCTGGTGGGTGGTGTTTGGATCATGGGAGTGAATCACTAAAGCTTGGTGCTATCCTCACAATCGTGAGTTCTCATGAGATCTATTTGTTTAAAAGTGTGTAGCACCTCATCCTACCCCTCCTGCTCCTGCTTTTGCTACATGACGTGCCTGCTTCCACTTTGCCTTCTGCAATGAGTAAAAGTTCCTTGAGGCCTCCCAGAAGCTGAGCAGGTACTGGCATGACACTTCCTGTACAGCCTGAAGAACCATGAGCCAATTAAACTTATTTTCTTTATAAATTACCCAGTCTTAGGTATTTCTTCATAGCAATGCAAGATTGACCTAATACAGCAAAAAACAAATAGCCTGATTTTAATACGGGCACAGGGTCTAAACAGATGTTTTTCAAAGGAAGTTATACAAATGGCAAATAAGTACATGAAAAAAATGATTAGCACCACTAATCATTAGAGAAATGCAAATTAAGACCACGATAAGATATTACCTCATACCTATTAGAATAGCTTTTATTGAACCAGAGAGGCAGAGGTTGTAGTGAGCAGAGATCGCACCACTGCACTCTAGCCTGGGCAACAGAGTGACATTATGTCTCAAAAAAAAAGAAAAGAAAAGAGAAAAGAAGAAAGAAAGAAAGGAAAGGAAGGAAGGAAGGAAGGAAGGAAGGAAGGAAGGAAGGAAGGAGGGAGGGAGGGAGGGAGGGAGGGAAGGAAGGAAGGAAGGAAGGAAGGAAGGAAAGAAGGAAGGAAGGAAGGAAGGAAGGGAAAGAAAGAAAAGAAAGAAAGAAAAGGAAAGAAAGAGAAAGAAAGAAAGAAGATCCTGATTAGTAGTCTAATCAAATTGTTATATAGATATCTTGGGAGGTAGGTGGGACCTGAAGTGGACTAAATGTGATAGAGAAAAGAAGTCGAAAAGAGCTAACTCCTCATCCTCCAGAGTAGTAACTTAAAACACAGTGCTCAAAATATTTTCCACTTAAATGTCTCTTTTAATTGACTTTGTAAATGCTCATACTTTCCCTTTACTTCTATAGTCTATAACACATGGTAAATCAATTAGTTAATTGTTGATTTGAAGATAGGTAACAAACCGAAAGTCAGGAAATATAAAAATATTTAACCTTAATTTTATGTAAGAAGTAGTTCTGGAATGAAAAAAAATTAAGAGTATGTATTAAAATTTTAGCTTTTGCAACTCAGCTAATGGTATTATCCTCACAGAAAGACTATTCTCTAATAAAATATACAGCATAAGAGAAGGTAAGGTTTGAATATAATTGAAGAGAACAAATTATTTGCTTAAGATATGCAGAATTGTTCCATACGTCCACAGGATTGGCCATCTGGTTTGTCTTTGTTACGTATCTCTTAACTCAAATTACATCATCTGACTATTCTGGTGGGCAGTCAAGTAAAGTAAGTAGAGGGAAACAAGTCAGCATAAATATCATTGAAAATCTCACTTTTCTTCCCATTCATGAGCGTTAGTTTTTGTTTGACATATGATAATATCTTCACCTTCACCTATGTGCAAGCCTAGAATCCAGCACTAAATCATTAGGACCAGTTCAGGATAGAACTACAGCGTCTCAGCCTATGTGATGGAATTTGAAGTGCAATGACCATCTATCTGAGTCATTTCTGTTTCTACAACCTTGAATCCTTTGGAAATTCTTAGGTGTTATCTTTCACTATCCCATAGCTTTCCATTTTTTTCTTCCTAGCAAATGAAAGTCTGCAGAAATTTGAATAAAGAGAAGATACAAGCCTAATCAAAGGAAGGTTGTTTACTTTCCTGATATTCTGTAAATTACTTTCCTGATATTCTGCAAATCTTGACATGCTATAAAAGGATTGATAGCATCTTAAAGAGCTAAAAAGCTTTCGTTATTCATTCATTTTTAATACAAACCTATAATTGGATCATTTGGTTTTAACAGGTTCTTTGATTTAGAGAACCATACTCATTATAATTGGTATTTATAAATTCATGTCAAAGAGAAATGTATTAAGAATTGTGGTTAAATTTGAAATTGGCCAATATAAGAAATTTTTTCTATTAATCCTGAGATATGTTTCTTCAGAACAGTTTTTAAATAATTTAACACTAAGATATTGCAACTGGAAATTTAAACCATTTTTAAACGATAGTTAAAACTGCCACAAAACCGAAAAATCTTCCCAATATATGATTTCACGCTGCAATGGGAAACCATAGCAAAGCCTGAAAAGGCAATGAATTTACATATTATTGCCTGGAAAAGTATCTCTAAGTGCACAATAATAGAGAGTAATTTTATTTGAAAACTTAAGACACCTTAAAAGACAAATAAAAGAGAAATGTTAAAATTATAATCACTTACAGAGATTGAAGCTACACACATATTCCTGTGTGTACATTTATATCATTTCTGAATAGTATTATTTTGCTCATAAAAATGCTGTACTTTTTCTAACAGAGATTATATACTAAATTTTTCATGGAATCTTTGGGCATTTGTGCCCAAGCTAAAGCAATATACCAAAGCAGAATTCTAGAAGAAGCTGTTTTTAAACAAAAATGAATTGAAAGACAATAATGTGTTTATCTATTAGGAAGTTAAATATATAATCTTTTAATTTGAAGTCAGAAGATTAAAGATGTCTTTCATTTACCTATACCACTACCCAAGCCGTTAAGGCAGTTGGCTTATGAGTTCTACTTTGGCCTTTCTGCTCAATTGTCTGCCAGAAAGCAATGTAATTACCTCTTTGAACTTCAACTACTACATCAGAAATAATGAGAACAATACTTTCTAAAATTCTATGATTTTATGCAGAGTCTCTAGAAGAAAAGACTCTGTATTTCATGATGTTGCTTCAACACAGTTGATTCAAAGTTCCAATAGTTTTCTAATTCTGCAGCTCTTTGTGATGTTTTTGTCTATCATTACCTGGGAATACTGGAGTATTCATATATGCACTGATCTTATCATTAATTTAATGGTTATTCTCTTTTATCATAAACTCTGGAGTATTCAATTAGTCATTAGGAATAGGATGTTAGGAAGTAAGAAACTGGTTCCATCTCTACGGACACTTTTGTTTCAAGTCAAAATGGAGTTAAAAGGGATAGATTTAGCACTATCACCCCACTCCTTGCTGTAAGCAACTAGAAAAAATCAGACAAAACATAGGAAACAGTGGTTTACAGGCATTTGAAAAGAGGCATTATAAGTCTGTGATCCCTAAGAGAAAGGGAACAGATGATGAAAGGTTAACATGCATCATCTTACTTCCTGTAGGCAGTTTCCAGGCAACAGCACAGAGTCAAGCAGTCTTGCTAAATTGAAGAAAGAGATCAGAATTCAGGGATATTAAGAAAGGTGGAGTTTGTGGGGCATAGGAGCACAGAGGAAGGAGGTGCATGAAGAAGGAACTCTGGAGATCTGCAGTGGGGTCTGGAGGAGGCTTTGTCTAAGTACTAATCTGTGCATGCATGAGAGGAAATGACCCAAGCTTGGGAAAGAACCACAAGAAATAAGTAGTCAGAAATATTCCTGGAGCTCACAGAGGGCTAGGAATTGTTCGTGTTCCTGCCAGCTAAGATGAAACAATAATAATAACAACAAAAACAACATTTTAAAAAGCAAAAAAAATAAATACATAAGGTATCAGGTAGAAGCTTCAGAATGATATTGCATTCCAAAGCTCTATATAACTAAATTGCCAAAAACTAATGATAGAAAGAAAATCTTAAGATCAGCCATAAAAAGAAGATACATTGTGACACCCTGCAAACAAGCAATAAAGAGAAGAATGACAGCAGACTTCCATCATAAACTATACAAGCCAAATGTGTTGAGAGGGGCAAAAACTGTTTACCTACACTTCTTTATCAGAGAAGATACATTCCAAATGTGAAGAAGCAATATACATTTCTGGAAGAATTAAATGAAGAGAATTCATCACCAACAGAATTACACTCCAACAATGCTA